GATATAGTGAGTATTTCCTGCCAAAGGAAACGAATGGCCATGTGTTTCACACAGGCACACATAAGCATTCTCACATGAATCATTAGACATGTACTTTCTACTCACACACACAATAATCGGCTTTGTGGTGCTCGGCAGGCATGGGCCAGCTGATGTAGCAGATGGTTCAGGCTGGACTCAGGAAGGTGTTTGATGGGTGGAAGTAGGTGTATTTAATTGCATGTCAAGTCTGACATCTCTGCTGGGGTTAAAGGGGCCTGTCTGTTCCTGTGCCTGTTAGCCCTCACAGCTCCTTCAGCCAAGACTCATCACTGTCCCTGGAAAGCATCGCTAATAGCACACACACACACACACACACACACACAAACACACACACACACAAAAACAATAGATCTCCACTGGTTCTACACAGAGCCTGGAAATGTACACTGGGCGTCTCAAAACATGACAATTAACATGCAAAAGTAGGACAAAAAATTACATTTCTAGTTACCTTTTACCAAATGACAGATTTTGTGCAACCGTAATAGTTTGATCTATCTATTTATTTGGAGTGTAACGGTGTATGTGTTCGTCTGGAACCGTCACGGCTCGGTTCATGCAGTCAGACGAATGCAGTCAGTCATAGGCAATCAATCCAAAAGCGGGCTCGCATGGTAATGCAACAGGAGAGAGCAGAAGAAGAGATGATCTAGTACACACCAACCCAAAACAAGAATGGCAAGTTCAGATGCACGCAAGAGCTCGAAGAACTGCCTGCTTGGTTTAAATAAGCAATGTGGGAAACTTTAGGGCTCTAGAGATGCACCGGTCCACTGGCTATAAATCAGAACCGTGTTTTATTTTTATTTTTATTTGCAATCATTTGCATTTGCATCAAGGTTTTATGCCATTTTCTTTTCCTCTTACCTTCATATAATGTATATTAATATAGTATTTAAAAGCGCAGCTATTTTGTTTACAGCGGTAAGCGAGGAAACGCTATATCGCTGCTGTTTCATAAGCGCCATCTGCTGTCAGAGAATACATTTTCATTTTCATTCAGTCAGTCTGCTGATTTTTTTTTTGTGTAGCTGTCTTAATTTCACAAATCAAAGTCACCCCATTCTGTTTTTGCTTTAAATCTGTCTATTCAAAATAAATAAAAAACACTATAACTATCTATTTGTCTGTCTGTCTGTCTGTCTGTCTGTCTGTCTATCTGTCTGTCTGTCTGTCTGTCTCTCTGTTTGTCT